CCCTCTTATTTCTTTCAGCTCTGAAGCAGGAATTGACAGAATTAGAGGTCTCCTGGAAAAAATGAAATGTTTAAAAATAGCCATCTGCTTGGCAGAGTCAAGAGAGCATTTCTTTCATTGTGTCTGGTGCCTAGGTAGTCTGAAAACAAGCTTTTTAGGGTAATCTTATAAAGGCGTATAAGGTCCTCTTGGACTTCTAATTAATTTTAGAAAGTGTCAACACCGAAAACCGCTGTGCTGTTGACGTTCTCCTCCCTGCGTGCTGTCTCCGTTCGTTTCTTGGTTACTGGCTGAGTGCGTTCGTGGTAAGGAAGTCCTTGTCTCGGAGGTGCCCTGTTCCAGGTCGTGTTAAGTGAACTGTCATTACATCACTGCTCCTTTCCATTAGACAGCAAGGGGCATGGTGAGTCGATCTGCAGGCATGTCACTACTTATTTATAGAAGTAATAAGAGGAAAAGCTTAGTCCAGCTTTTGTATGTACCTCAAAATAATAATAAAACAACCACTCATTCAAATGTGCTTTTAGCTCTGATCTAGTGTTTTAAGTACATGAGTGTTTGCATTTTATAGTCTGACCCAAATAGCAAATATCATGTTCTTGCTTGTTGAAAGCACGGCTGTGCGTGGCTTAGTCCAACTGCGGTTATTTTGGCTGCCTATCCATGTGGAAATACTTATGTTGTTTTTCACAGTAGCGTTCCAGTAGTAATAATCGTAGTATTAGTGCAGTAGTAACGCTCAATCCAGAGCACTTTATGAATGAGTCACCACCTGAAAAGCACAACAAACACCCAGTTTTTCTCTAAATTGTTTTGCATTTGTCTGTTTGTGGTTGCATATTCATTTTCTTATTGTTAAAGAGGAACTAATTGCACATGCAAAGTAAGTGGAAAGATGGGCTGAAACTGCAACAAATAATTTGGAGAGAACAAAAAATCTGTTGGACACTGTGCCTTGATATTAATATTGTTTGGCAAGACTGTGAACTGTAATCATTCTTTTGATCTGATAACAATGATGACACTAGGAGTAATACCAAGGCCACATCCCATGATCTTGTAAGCTAGTTTTTTTTCCCCCTCTGTCTCCATTGCTTTCCCAGAAGTGATTAAATGGTTATTACCGAAGTCTGATTTCTCCTCTATTAAAACTAACGCCTGTGTTCTCAAATACGTCTGACACCGTTTTGAAATGTAAATCTATTTCCTGAGTCGACCAAAGTTGATTAATTTCTTACAACGGTCAGAGAAAGGGTAAGCATATATGTTAATACTGCTGTGAATTGTGTCTGCTTAGAATTAATGTACAACATGGCTGTGGATTTTGTGTTTGTGCTATGCAAGAAATGCGGTTTCTGAGCTTTTCCAATGCTATGGTGTTGCGCTAAAGAAACAAATCATTTTCTGACAATCTGGGACATTTTCACTCTCTCACTTCATACTTTTGCTGCTATATATAAAAAGTAGACGCTGGTGCAAAGTGAGTTTTCTTAATTTGCTGCAGCTCAAGGCGGGAACTGAGATTGCGTTAACTGTGGAGTCTGAATTGGCAGGGACTACAGGAGGAATAAATAAAATGAGGGCATGGGAGAGACAAGAGAAACATGAAAAAAGTTAGGCCTTGGCACTTCTGTTTGTAGAATATTCCGTTTGGAAAAACGTTGCCTTTTTATACAAGTTTGCAGAATGACCTCAAACCCAACGATTTTAACCTTTTATTTTGTAATGGGAGATAAATGCTGTCTTTGTAGGGAGCCCTGGCATCTTGATTCTTATTGCGCGTAATATCTGCTGACCCCAAAAGGAAAAGAGAGAGGCCTTTGTGGACACAAGGAGAGAGAAAAGACATTATTTACTGCAAGTGGGAAGGCGGCTTCAGGGAATGCAGCCCCCAGATGCAGAAAGAGAAAGCCGTTTGTGTCCCGGGCTTCGGCAATGAGGAATTGTTTTCTCTTTGCCAGACAATCGAGTGGCTGTTCAGCCCAGCCTGTTTTATCTGGGGTGCGCAGCCTGTTGACATTGACTCCAAACTGTTTGTGTTGCTGGTGAGCTGGCTGTGGAGCGTGGAGCTCTTCACTTGTCCCGCGCTCGCGCTGCGCGAGAGACGGGGATCCACGCGTGGGAGCCGTAAATCTGAAGGCTCCCCTGTGCCCGGCGCCCTGCCAGATTCAAGATGTTTCGATCTGCTTAGTGCCAAGGCCTTGTTTTTTGGGGGGCGTATGAATCGCCAAAGCCGCCTGGCACCGTGGCATGGTGGGAAGGGTTTGATTCCCCACGGAGGGGGCCTCCCATGTTTCTAGATTATCCCTGGATGTTTGTGTATGTGCCCTGTTGTGGACTTGTGCCCTCGGACTTCAGGTTGGTGCATCCCTTCCCAGGAATTAGATGTGTTTTGCCAGTGCTGTGAAAAAAAGAAATGTTGGTTTGGTTTGTTAATGTGTAGGAAGCTTCAGTAGAGTAGAGGAGTTTATTGCCATATGTACATTGGATGTTTTATTTGCACTGGGATATACACAGTAGGCAACACATAACATACAACACTATTACAAACATAATAACAGAACTATAAATATGTTGTGGAGAGCAATAAATATACTAGTGTATATATATATATAAGCATATAAATAAATGTGCTGTGTCTGCCCTGTGATGTACTGCCTTGCACTTCTTGCTGGCCAAGATAGGGTCCTGCTCCCTCACTACCCTGTATTGGATAAAACGGTCAGAAAATGGCTGGATGGTGATATGTTTTTTTTTGTGTGGCTGTATTTACAGAACTGCAGAATCCGCCAAATAAGACGACAAAATAAATTAGTAAGTTTATTGTAACCCTAGCTATTATTCCACCACGGCAGTGTTGCTCGACTGGATGGGAAAAATTAAGGGTAATGGCGCTCAGACCGTAGGGACCACCTATGAAATACATACATTTGAAATTGTACATTTTGACATGATATCACCTGTCAGACATTTGTAAAAAGATTCATTAAGTCATATTGTGAAGCCTTCCCATCTTCTTCCTGTTCATTTGGCTGCTCTCGCCCCCTGACCTGATTTTGCAGCTACGTTAAAAGACAACCAGGAAAAAAAGAAATGTACAAAATGAGAGATGCATATATATTTCTCAAGAGACTTAGTCAGGGCCACCTGCCATTTTCCCACTAGTTCTTAGAGCACAGTTGACGTCATCCTGAGGTGTGTTCACTGGCAAAACTACTTTCGCACCGGATATGACCCAGTGGGACGTGACAAGCCCAGCATACCAGGCTGCCACAAGCCTTTCCAGTCCCAGTGATTCTTGGCAAGCTGTGCTCCGAGTCTCTGGAATGGGCAGTTACAGTAGACTGACAGGGAGTGCAGACTTTGGTTGACCTGGGCTCAATGTGTAGACATCTGGACAACAGGACTCAAGCTGGATTCTGAACAAGTGCCCTTTCTTTGTGAACTTCACTGGTGACACTGTTTCTAAATATCGTTCTCTTAAATCATATATTCAGAAACATTGTCATCTGCATTCCCAAGACATGTTAAAAAGTCTTGTTACTTGACTTTTTTTAAAATAAAAAATGTACAAACTGTGGTTTCCCTTAATACTGTTAAAGTGGTCTTTTTCTGATTTAGTTTTGATTCTGTATAAATGTACAGGAAAGCTAATTGGGTTTTTATTCCCCCCATTTTATTTGACTCTTCACTTTCGTTTGTGTCATTTAAAATACTGACCTCTCTGTTTACCAAAACACTGCTTTGCCCCTATTTATTTCATCCAAGTTCTTAAAACCACTCATTTGAAGGTTCACAATGTGATAATTAACTGAGTTGTGCTGACCACATTGCTCTGAAACCACAGAGTTTTCTTCCTCCTTCACTCTCAAAAATTTCTGTTTCTAATTATCATATTTTTTTTGACTCGCATAACAAAAATTCAACCTTTAATGTACCTTTTCATACATGTGTATACTGCATTCTACAAGACTTTTAGTAATCTAAAACCAAAATAGCTGATGAAATACTGAGCAGTTTAGATTGGGCGTTTAATAATCTCAGACATGAAAGCCTAATTCTAATGATATCTTGACTTTTTGAAGTATCAAACTTCTTATAGACTTATTAACATTAAAGGCTTCCTATTTAAAACCTGTCATTGGGGGGAAAAAGCTAACTTTATTTGAATTATGAATCCATAAGGGTTTATTTTAATCTTCTAGGCCATCATTAGTAAACCACAAACAATTCAGTGTGTGGAGGAAGAGATCTTTGTACCACAATTGCTGTGATTCACCAGCGATAACGGGTTGAGTCAAAGCAGACTGTAGTACAGTTTACAGTACACATAGATATTTCTTAAGTGGAGTTCCTGGGTTTTATTTCTGCAACTGGACATCAGCACGTTGAAGGAGACATTTGTAATCTCTTCTTTACAGGTATTTAATTTGCTGGGCCCATATTGTGTAATATTTCATGCTTGTATGCTCTGCCATATTCCCCTGATGGGTAGAGAGGTGAAGCACCTTAATTCTTTATACTCTTCTCTACAAAACCTTTAAAGGTATTTTTGAATATGTTCGTACTGTAATAGTCAATTCATTGTTTGAATCCTTAAAATGAAATTGGTAAATTGTGGAATAAGTTAAACTGGAAAATCTGTTAGAAAATGAATGGGAGACAAAGATCTTATTTTCTAATTCAGCACTTTATCCGAGTGTTTAAAAATTAAAATGCTTAGGGTTCTCTGTGTCTGTCCATGTTTAATGTGCAGCTCTCCGATCAAGTCAGGAATGTGGTTCTTTTCACCCTTTTGTTTTGGATCACATTTTGTGTCTGACACCTCTGCGGCTAACATTTGAAATCGGATCTTGTTTGAGTGATGCGAAATGATTTGTCCAGAGAAACTGTTATAAACTGCAAAGAGAGAGAGAAATGCATTTGTGCATGTGATTCAGCTCACTATTGTGAAGGTAGCTGTGCTTGTTGTCATTTGGTGTCCTGCTTTGTTTTGGCAGTAACTTCACCAGTGAGGCAACCCAAGCCGGTGGGTTTGGGCCAAACAGCTCACCTGTGGTGCCCCCCTCTTCCTCCCCATCTTCCTCCTCCTCCTCCTCCGCCTCTGCCTTCTGCCCCGTGATCCCCTCTCGACCCGTTGTGGAGCGTCAGCCACGCATGCTCAACTTCCGCGTGGAGTACCGGGACCGCAACGTGGAGGTGGTGCTGGAGGAGTCCAGCACAGTGGGTAAGAAAAGGAGCAAGTCTGGAGAAAAGAGAAGCCCTTCAGAGCTCTTTGGAGCCTTGCAGTCAAGTTAAGCAAGTCTGAAGCATCTAACGGGCTCTGAACTCAAGTATGTGGCTTGGTTAACCTTTCAAAGAATAAACCACTCTGTGGAAAAAAACAAAAGTCCCCAAACCCACAAACCGTTTTCTTTCTGATAATCTGTATATTAAGGCTGTTTAGTATCCGATTCATAATGATCCATGCCAAGTTAAACCAACATTGTGTTATTTCTCTTTATGACTCAGAGCTTGCATGTTATATTGATTCTTAAGGCTTGCATTTTGACAAAGGATTTGCCTTGTGCCAACTGCAAATTATATGAAATGTTCTGGCTAGAGCTGGGAAGAAAAAACTACTGCCGAGTCCTTAGCATTAAGTTCAAACCCTCTGATCGTGTGAAAGGTGGAGGGCCTCCTCTGTTTGCCTGCCATGTGCACTGAACAGAGCATTTCTGAATCCCCTGTGCTCTTTGTGCGCTAAGAAATCCTGCCCTCGTCTCATCTGGTCTTATTGCCCTTTGACTCTGGGGTGGGGAGGGGGAAGCTGAGAGATTTCATTTCTCTTCACAGGAAGATAGGGAAGCGAAAGCTAAAAATAACAGAATGCTTGTTTCCATTCACAAACTCTAATTCCCCATTTCCACTTGTCATTCAGAGCCACTCGTCTCTGAGGACCAGCTGAAACCACCCCCATTCATCATGCATATCTGTGACACCTGTGACCACATTAAAAGCATTCTGCATATTTTATAGCGTGTAACATCTATGTTTTAAGTGCTATTCTAAGGGAGCACATAGATGCTGTATCATATGCAGTTGGAACATCTTTTCCCAAAAAATTGATGTTGTTTTCAGACGTTCACTTATTACCGTATGGTGCTAGAATAGCTATTATGCATTATCTGTTTTTGAAGAGGACGTTTTCTTTTGCAGACGTCAACAATCACAGCATTAACTCAGAGACAGAAATGACTAGTAGCAATATCAGCAACGGTTTTGGAAGTAAGAGGAGAGAGACGAGCACAAACAATTTAGTTGCATTTGTTTCATTGGCTAGGAAGTGAAATCTGATTTGGACATGATGGAGAGAAAAGAGTTGCTTTGCTTTTCCAGAATCTCCCCACTTGAGCCCCATTTTATAAACATCACTCTTCTTGGACTGGATCATGTCAGGACCTGGCAGTGACCGAGATCCCTGAGACAGTGATCTCGGTCACTGCCCCTGATCCCTGAGACAGTGATCCCTGAGACGGTGATCTCGGTCACTGCCCCTGATCCCTGAGACAGTGATCCCTGAGACAGTGCAAAACTGGCTGTGTACTGCTGGGATAAGGTTGGGGTTTGTTAGCCCAGATTCCCTCACCACTTTGTGCAACCATCAGATTTCTTATATATCTTACTGTGTCCACGTATCAAACAAATATCCAGACAAAAAAAACAAGAAACAATTTTTTTTTGTACTCAATTATCTATTTTGTAAGTTGTGGCTCTGTTAGAAAGCTGAAAATGCTTGTAGACCTGGCCCTATGTGGCTGCTAGCTTGGCTAAAAATTTGAGACAAATTTTGACATAAAACATTTTTTGTGAAGACCTGGAATGGTTTTGCTTGTATACCCAGTAAAAGTATAAAAATTATTTTAAAATAATAAAGGTATCATAGCTATTGCAATTACTATAGTGAGTCTCTAGGCACTTCTGAGAGGCCTTTTATTGCTGTTAGGCAGTAAACTAAAACATCTGGTAAGCTTCCAGGTGTGAAATGACCACTGATAAAAATCTGATTGGTCATTCCCTGATATGTAAACAATCAAGAGAAAATCCAGTCTGAGCTTCACAGAGGACCTATCTTACCTAAGGCTTTGAATGCTTGAAAATGTATGACAGCAATTTGAACCAATTGGACCAGATTTTTCAAGGTGGTCAGTTTTGAAAAATAGCCCCAAGAGCCAGTAGCTCTTTGTTGTCTCCAAGCCTAGAGATGAGTATAGTCTCTTATGTATGGAAGTATTTTAATAGTTTCTTTGTGTCTTATAAGGTATGAACATGGGATTCTAAGTATATAGGTGAGATTTTACTTTTGTGATTTTATTTTGTTGGGTTATTGATAAATTATTGATGGACTTTGGAACTTTGCTGAACTCCGATAAATAATTGTACTATAATTGTTGGATTTTGGATTGGGAAACGGCTCTGTGAAACTCCAGTTGTCTTGTTCAGTCTTGTTGTGAATTTTTATTTTGCTGGAGAAAATTTATGAAATTTTCTGTATGTGTATTTTTATATCATTATAACAGTTTCTTTGAAAAGCTTTTTACTGTGGTGAAAAGTTGTTTTGCCTGTTCTGCTTTCATGATTTGATTTAGACGACACGGGAGATCACTTACAAAGTGTGACACTTTGTGGGTAGGTTTAAAATGAGTTTATCTTAAGTCAACACTGGCCCAGGGTGTGGTGTGCTCAAACCCTGCAGCGTCTCTGCAGAGCATGATAGGGTGTAATGTCAGTAATAGATGGATCGGTCCTCCATTTGGCACCAAGTGTTTGTTAAGTGTTTGCAATGTATCAAATAATGCATTAATCTTCCGGTGGATGTTTCAGAACATGTGTGCGCCTTGGAATAGATGAGTCTTAGAAAGAATTGATGATTCCAAACTGGATTTCTGTACAATAGAAATATACCTGGTTTAAATATTCATTACCCCGAAATATCCCTTATTCTCTATAGCTAAAATATTAGGAACTGGAGTTGAATCTGTAGGCTTTGTTGGCGGCAGACAGTATGTGCTTGACTTGAGATCTTTCATAGACAGAGCAGTTCCCAGATCTCAATATTATGGAAAACTGAAATGCGCTAGCAACAAGTTCTGTTCAGTCCAACAGTGATGTGCAAATCTAAAAAACAAATTAATTGGTTGCAGGTGGAGAGAAAGCGTTATAAACGTTTGAAACGTTTCACAAAATGAAAATTATTCTTCGATAATTTCTCACCATATTGTATATAGGCCACTAGGGTTAGTGTTTCAGAACACATTTCTCCCTTGCAGTCATTTCCTTTCCAGTACTTGAAGTAAACAGCAAAAAGGTCATTTGATGTGATTCTTAGAAGATGGCATAAAGCTTTACCATTGCAGTACCAAGAATTGGTAGCTGTCAGTTCTTGGTAATGCAGTTATGACTTTCACATCACCATTTTCACATCCTCATTAACCACAAAAATTATAATAGCCTGCTCTGTTCAAACCTATCCCAAAACCATTTCTTTTGCAGGTTGGTTGAAGCATACAGTACACACATGCAAGTCTACTACAGCAGCTTATGCATCACCTTTGTACTGGGACCTTTGCAGATTCCTCAGTTGTTGACACCAACCAATTTTGTTCCAGATAATTGATTTCAGCCCAAATGGCCAAACATCAAAACATAGGTTAGCTGTGTATTTTTCAGATTAAAGGGAGATTTCCAGAAATATACATCACACAGTCTCTAAAATCACGAAATATAACAACCTTGATTGAAGGTGTTGTTACCCAACTCCAGTTACTTGGCACAAAGTTTATCTATCCTGCTGCTAATGCATTTATTTTAAAGCCTACACACGGGTTACATGTATGCAAAGCCCATTTAAAACTGATAGCAAGAGGCATTGTTTTACGCAGGCCACACAGGCATTGTGTGAATTTTGAGACCCTGGATCCTTTAAAAAAAATCACTGGATTAGGAGATCCTGTTACTTGTAACCTTTCTTAAATTCTTATATATCGAGGAAGTTGTATAGGCTGACATTCACACCATCACAATCCTGTACAGCAGATCCCTTTCGGAATTGTTCATCTACGGTTTTATTCTGTTGAGTTGTGGCAGTGGAAACAGTAATAGTCTCCACATGTATCCTTATTAAAGAAATTCGATTGGTACGTCACTGCCCTCAGATGGTGGACTGGTGGAGGGGAGGTCTCGGAGAGGAATGCACAGCATCGACAGAAGTGTCTAAAATCCTCAAGTACAATTAAGATTACTTCCCAGGTTTTTCCTCTCCTTCCCATTTCTCTGTTCTTTGACTTATATGTGATCCATGCCCTTTGTTCTGTTTTCATCAGGTGACATTAAACAGATCCTCGAAACCGAGCTGCAGATTCCCGTGTCAAAAATGCAGCTGAAGGGCTGGAAAACGGGAGACGTGACTGACAGTGTGAGTGCTGTAATATTTCAATATGCCAAGGAGTCGCTGTTACAAAGATCAAGTACTTGGTTTAACTGATGGTGGAAATTTACATCTGTGACCTTCTTTTCCAAAACTGGGTTGAGTATAATTGTAAAGTTTACGTTTTCTGATTTTGGCAAATTTGTTTTGTACATATTTGCAAAACTAGTAAGTTTACAGATGTTGTTTGTGACTCCTCCTCCTAGGGTATGAAGTTGTTGAATTAAAAAAAAATCTGCAATAAGATTTAACTTAAGACTTGGTTTTATTGCAATACAATTTTGGTCAGCTAGTTATGACGTTCATTACTTAATAAATCGCATCTGAAGTCCTGCTCACACACAACCATTTTCTTAGGACGGGATCTCCCCTCGTTGGCTCCCACTGGGATTACCAATACTCTTGTGTTTATGCGAGTCATTTTGAAGGAGAAGTCAGTGTCTGGGGTTGCTAGGAGATGTAACAGCACCTGTGGAAGGAACCAGGTCACGTGACATGTCAGATTTGGGTTGACAAGATGGTAGACTGCGTAGACTTTAAATCTATGAGTCTATTAATAAAGAAATTAGGTGAAGGAAGCACACAACAGATGTGAAAAGGCATAAGACATTGAAACAAGGTGAAGTGTTTCACAAAACTGCAGTTTGTGCAGAGCCTTTTTTTCCTCTTTACTTTCCTGCTAGCTGTCACAATGACATTTTAACGTCACCCCCACCCCGACCTGAAGTTGTTGCCAGGACATTTACCCCAGAGGCTGGGCCCAGGACACTGTACGCTCTGTATGGACCCAACATACGCGTGAACAAGGTCTAACTGTGCTCCGTTCTTGGACGCTGCCTCTGAGCGTCGGCCCTGACGTTCTTCCTGTCCCTCTGCAGACTGTCCTGCGGAGCCTGCACTTGCCCAAGAACAACAGCCTGTATGTGCTGACGCCAGACATCGTCCCCACGGCCTCCACCAGCCAGACCAGGTGAGCACTTACACAGCTTTCCTCTTCTAACAGCCCACCAGTGATGACCGTCCAGGGCAGAAGCCCTCCAGTCTTACAGTCCAAGACATCTGAGCATTTCATCTTGATGTTTCTGATGAAATATCTATAGTTGGGAAGAATTGTGCAGGTTAGCTTTTTTCTAAAGGACTTTTCTTTTCAAATGAAAATGTGAACATATATCACCTTAACCAGGTCATATCAGAAAGCTCTTCATTCTTGTCCACTATATGTAGGAACATTTCACATAAGGCCCCGATGCTTTCTGTTCTCCATTGTCTTCCAAGGAGAGGTCTGATTGATGGAAAATGAGAGAGTCATGGCAATGGCATTTTTTAATAGGCCAATTAGTTGGTTGCAGCCTCTTGAGTTATGCAACTTCAGAAGGACACTAATCTCTTTACTTGATCAGGGCTGTAGTCTGAAAGCACAGAAAAGCTACAAGTTTTCCTCCTGCTATTGCAGTATGAATATGGGAGGAATGCAAAGCTGGAGCATTGAACCACTGTATAGCAAATTAAAGAATACAGTTGTGGCCGTAAGACAGGCTACATAATTTCTGCTTCTCAGTTTAGTCAAGTAATTCTAAATTCCCAAATCTAGAGGGTAGGTCCCCCAGGTGCTGTAGTGCCGTGACATTGGTGTAAGGTTTCTAGTTAATATACTGCGAACTACAATTCAGTTTCCCTCAGTAAAAATTAAATTGCACACACAAACAAAAATATAGGTAAGATACAACAAATTTCTGCTTGCTTGCTTTGCTCACATAAGCAACAAAATGTAATGCTGATTAAATAGGTAATATGTTCATGTCGCATAGTGTTATATCAGTTGAGCTTAAGTGTAAATAGCCTTAGGATGAGAAGTACTTTTTGCTCTCTGCTTAACAGGCACAGCAGTGGTGGCAAGATTTTTATGTGATATTACAAGTTGACTTGGGTTGGTTGGGAACCAGAAAGAAACTTTTCTATTTCTCCGTGCAACTACTGTGACCGCTCTGGGTGTCCAGCTTGTTGGTTGGGAAACACATATTCTAGTGTTTCAGCTACAGTACGGCTGCTTTTACAAAACCAGTCCAGACAGCATAATAGCCGGCCTTATTATGCAATTTGCTAAACTGCTAACCCGCTTAGTGTGTTTGCCTGATGCTCTTATTAAGGGTAACTCAAAAGGGTCATTATCGGTACTCGTGTTGTAAAGGAATAAGATGAACAGGACTGAGGTGCGTGAGGAGGGGACCCGTGAGGTAAGCATCAGATTGGGTAGGGAGGGTGCCCCCTTTGAAATAGTTGTTGCTTCAAGGGGCCTCATTAGACTGAGCATTGGATATAACAGAAATCCAGAATCTTGGCCAAAGGTGGTCAAAGTCTATATTAAAGGTCTCTATCCTGAAATGTGGATAGAAGATGTGTGGCCTGGGTTTCTCTCTTTGTGGCTTTAGCACCAGAATTATCAGAAACCATTGCTCATCACCAGCTGCCCCAGCGGGTTTTCCATTTTTGCGATGTGGAGTGTCTGTGAAGCCCTGAATTAATATGCACATTGCAAGCCCAGGAGACCCAGAACTCACAGGATGAGAGTAGTTGAAGTAGTTCGATTTATAATTACATTTAGTAGAAATCGAGTTTCTAAATTGGTCAAGACTGTGGTACTGAGAGCAGTTTTTAAACCACAGCGTGCAAGTCCTTGATAACATCTCGTTTTCTTTAGCTTCTGATTAAAGCTGCACCTTTGTAGTCAACTCAGTATCATCTTGCTCTCCAAACAGCCTCCAAGCTTTCCATCTTGTTGCTATAATTGTTTTGTTGGTTTGTTTGGTTAATATTTCTTGTATCTAGTATTTTTATAGTGGGCATTTTGAGATGATGTAGAAGAAGTGTGAAGTGTGACTGTACATGACTATGCTTCACTTAATTCTGGTCTACAAAGCATACATGACCATTGTTTGCATTGAAAGAAAAAAAATCTTACTTAAATATGTAATTCTGCTTTTGATTAGCGTCATAATACAAAGGAATAACATGACAGACTTCAAAATCCAGTTAAATGAATACCAACACTTGTTATATGAGGAAAACCCATATCATACTTCTAAAAAGTTCCATGTGCCCTTTGTGGTCCTATGTTTTTAATTCTCATGCGCTTTCAAAATAAAATGCACGTATGGCATGTTAAAAGTGTAGAATAAAATTTGACCAATTGAAGAAAAACTCTGTGACTCATGGGGAAAGAACATTACTGTATATCTCAAGGGCAGCATGCTTAAAATTATCATGTTTCACTTTTGTGGTAAAGACCAAAGAAAACTCCTTTAGGAGCTTGCAACAATTCAACAAATCTGCAGAACTGCAAATTTTCAAATTGACGTGCAAGCTCTTGATATGTTTTTATAGTATTTTAGCAGCATCGTTTTGTGGACAAGAGCCTTAATCTTCCTGTGACTGATATGAGTCATATTTGGAATAATCTCCACAGGATTTCCTTCTCTTGCTCTCTGTTCCAGCTTCATTGTTTGCTGATGCTTCTGTGTCCTGTGTTGTTTTTTTCCTCAAAACATTTACCACATGTTCTTTTCTTGTGCCAAATGAGCGGAAAGGGAGAAACTCCTCCAATAAATAATATAAAGGTCTGATTCACAAGTGACTGCTGCACTTAATTACAGTATGTCACAAATAAATACATCTGGTTTGTCTGGTGGGACTTTACAAACTTTTCTTTCCTAAGATGAGACAGTTTTCTCGACATGTTGTGAGCAGAAAAAAATCATTTAATTTCATTTTCTCAAAAAAGGTTAAGAGGAAGCAATTCCTTTCGGGGGGGGATTCCCATTCCATGCTTGAACACGTGTGTGTTAGAGGGGGATTCCAAAATTTATATTGTGCATATTGAATTCAAATTGTTTTTTCATTATTCCTTCATGGTTGTGCCTCAGTAATTTGCATTACACACTGAAGCATATTAAAAATGCAACAAATGCTGTTGGTTCTTACAGTATTTAAGAACGCAAGCATGAATAAGGGATAATAAAGTAATTTATGGTGATTTTGGTGCTTTACTACAGATGAATTGGGGTGGCTCATTCTTGAAAGTAAACTTCACAAAAGGGTTTTGAATATGCGTAATTGAATTTGCCGAATATTATTTAGCTACTTTCAAAATATTTCATATGATGTGTGTCTTTGATAAATGTGCACCATTAACATGCACCACTCTAATGTGGTATATTCAGTAATTACAGGCAGATGTTAGGTTCGTGCTCATTCATTAAGTCTTGATGGGTTTCTGGGCTTTGTGTCTGGTCGTGTTAGAGCTGGCATAGTTGTCATCTTCGCTCCAGTTCACGGTGTTTTTAACAATCAAAATGTTGACCTTGCAAAGTCTTGTTTTTGGGAAGAATACTGTAAATAAGTTTGATTAACTAAACCCATTTTAAGTGCTGAATTGTCCTCCCTCGGTTATTGTGTTGTCCCTGTGAAAATAGCTCACATTACATTTATGCAGGTACTGCTCTTACATTTTATTGTCAACAGCCACAACTGGGTGGTCATAGCTTACTGCTTACCTTTTCTTTAATAGGTATGTAGCAATTTATTTAAATCTTCAATTTATGAGTGAGGCTTTTTATTTTTGCCTGAGACAGTCAATAATAATAATGTTCGATTTATGAGTGAGGCTTCTTATTTTTCCCTCAAGGCGTTTATCTGTCTAAATTTCTTGGTAGCAGAAGTGTTTTCTTCTAAGCAGTGGGCTTCCCTGCTATCTTCAGTTTGAATCTGATTCTGAGTGCAGCTGAGAATATACATTTCCCAGGAGAAGCTGTATTTCTAACCCGCTGCCATTTAGTCATTTGTATTATTTTAGTCGTACAGAGTGCTAGTAATGTTGCATAGTAAGCTTCAGTTTCAGGTTTATTGTTCTGACTGCATTTTGACCCTGTTTTAGATTCTTGAGTAACTCAAGCCAGTAGTCTTCTAGGATTCATCTACATATTGCTCAAACATGACTCAGATGTGATGCTTCTAATCGCTCAGTCCCTGCTGATGAGGGACATAACATGATGCTGCCACCCCCATGTGTGACGGCAGACCTGGTACTGACTGAGTGCTGGGCTGTTTTGGCTTTTCAGTTGTATCCCTGACCAGTTTCTGGCTTTCCCAGTTGCACGGCATGGGAGAGCAGTATGCTCAGGTTATCATCTGGGTGGTGTGACAAACATTCCACTTCATCACTCCATTCTTAACGTCACGACACGTTGAAGGGATAAGTAATCTTCTCCTTCTCTGTTGTTTTCTGCTAATTTATTCCTAATACATTTCAAAATGCATTGAAAATACATTGGTCTTCATGGTCGATTTGTCATGTCACTATGTGAGCTGTGACTTGAAATTCAGTATCTGCTCATGGGAACTTACAGAGACTGATGCATTTACTCTGAAGTCAATTTAAATTATTTGGAAAATTACGGTCATTTTCAAATTGTTGTCTTGCACCTGAACTGATTTAGATTGGCTGCTGATGAGTACTTATGCAATTGATGATCTTTGGATTTTCTTTAAGAACAGAATTTTATATACTGTTCATTTTTTAGTTGGCATGTGTTATGAAGCTTTTTTTATAGTTTGTTTATAAATCAATGTAATATATTTATATGTTGAATATCAATATATATATTTATAAAGTCCTGTTTGAAAGTCTCGATTGCAAACTCCGATATTAATAAAATGTAGAAACGCAGAGGATGTGGATTTTGTCTGAATTTTTCTGAATTGTCAGAGGGTGCTCTGTCATGGTTGTGTCCCATGGTGTCTTCAGGTTAATCATTGTTTGGAGGAGTTAGTATACTCTTTGACAGCACTGATAGAAGGGATGCTGTTCCACAGCATGCCACAGATACCCCTGAGGACTGACATTCAGCAAATCCCTGTCAGATGTGGTTAAAAACACAGCCCAAACTAGAAGCCATGGTGCTGGCATGTTTGGAC